ATGAAGCTAGATAATAATTTTTTAGAATAACTGCCGATGATCGTGGGCTCCCGTGCTTCGTCATCTGGTCGGGAGACCCGGTAACCAGCAAGGGCGTATCTCCGACACTCGGTGATGTTCTCGTGACCTCCGCGATCTTCTCCTTGTGTGACCCTTAGGATATTGAAAATACCGCGATGGCCTCCTCCTGACATGCTTCAAACACTTTCAGCAGCAGGGCATCCGATTATCATACACCATTCGCCTCCCCCCCACGAGCTACAGTTTTTCTCCTCAAAACCCCACAAATGGCATTCAAAACTAGACTTATGAACAACACCTTGGGAGTTTTTTTACTGTGTGCCCTTCTAACGCAGTTCCATTACTGTCAACGCCACGTGTTCTGCATCATAGCTCTGTACAAAGAGGAGTTCAAAGGTATTTAACTCTATTTCACTAATAAAATCTGACCTGACTTATACCTTGTTTAATCTTCACTATTTGTTCAATGGTACCGTACTACATTAATAGTTGTTATCACTGGGGTTTGACGTGTGCGTTACTACCGGATACAGAGTTAAAGGAGGCTAGAAATTCGAACCAGCTCTATTCCAACTTTCTTTAGTTATTGCTTATTCGTGATTTGAAATATCATGGAAATGTCGTATGCAGTTTGCATGAATGTGATAAATCGTAATGTTAATTACTTTCGCGAACGTGTAGTTTGTAAGGTGTATGGAGTTTACCACGTCTGGGAGTCCACGGTATTTTCACTCTTATTAGAATAGCCTGAGACATAATCACGTAAAACAACTTCTCTATTGAGAAGAAGAAGATTCGATCGCTGGGACAATATGTTTATTTGCCCGACGTTTCGATATCCGTCGCGGATATCGAAACGCCAGGCGAATAAACATATTGTCCCGGCGATCGAATCTTCTTAATTGCTTCCTGAGACACGGATGTTCGCTTGTATTGGCAAACTTCTCTATTATTTAGGAGGTTTAGCAGATTTGCTTAATTTAAGTTGACCAAATTGTGAAAAAAATCGCAGCATTCGGTAGGATTTGAACCCGCATAGTAGAGAAAGCCTTTACGTAAAGGTGGGTTCAAATCCCGCCGAATGCTGCGAGTTTTTCACAATTGGTAAACTTAAATTAAGGAAATCTGCCAAACCTCCTAATAATTAAGTCAGCCTAGTAGTCATTCGGGTGGATTCTAGACGATTGCTTAAGAAATCCTGCTTGGGCAGTCAGCTTGCTGTTCCGTATTGGTGGATTCAGTACGAGCGGTAAAGTTGGGCGGGTAAAATCGATTTAAGCGTGATTAAACTCACAGTGTGAAGCGTGACATTTTTAGCTCAACTGGGAGAGCAGTACCTTCGCGTAAAAATCTTCTCTACTTTGCGTGTTTAAATCCTGCCGAATGCCGCGAGTCTCTTCCCAATTGGTTCAACTTAAACTTCTATGCTCCTGATGAATCGTTGCAGATTTGGTATCTTTTATTTTCAATTAGAAGAAATATTAAAGTGCACAGTTGGTTGGGGAGAAGGAACACTGAAAACATTTTGGTCCACAGTTAACCATCCAATATAGGCAAAGTAAGTATATTTGACCGTGAACTGTCAAATCAACTATGCCTCCTCAATGAGCTTTAAGTTGCATTAACGTTTTCGTCCAAACTATACTATAAACGTTCCGCAGCGGCTTGCAGGGCTTCCTTTACCCTGGTGAAGCTTATGATAGACACGTCTGTACCTTACTGTTTGCTCTTTTAAGTTCTTCTGGGAAAACATGAGTTTGGCTAAGAAGGTCCTATGGGACTAGGAACACCCCGAAATACAGGCGATTTTGTATAAAACTTTAGCAAAGTGTCGTTAGGGTTTAAGTTTAGAGCTGGGTATTTAGATGGGGTTCAGCTTAAGGGAACTATACACCCGTCCTAGAATTTAGCTCTCGACTCTCTGTATTACGTGGGAGGGAGCGTTCCTCTTTTCGTATCCTGCCGGGAGGGGGAGGGGGACATGTAAGAAATACTTGCCGAATTTTTTATTCACAAAAGCGGAACCACTAGTTGCTCAGTCTCTAGTGGGCGCCAAAAATCTTTCTCGATCATGATTGGCCTAGATACTGTAAGCCAATTATTAGGTAATGTAAGCCGAGTCGCTAAC